GAAACTGACTCAAAACTTAAGCTCTCTAACCTTAAACTCATAAGTTATGCAACACTTTTGCATCTTCTTATATAGTGGATTATTCCTTTTCCTATTAGAACAACAACTTTCCTTTTCTTAGATAACTCCTAAGTATGTTTAGATAACTCTTAAACATATTCCTAATCCTAACAGGAAACATTCAAGCTTATTCTAGACCATTTTAGAATATTAACTTCAAGCTTAATTCAACATTCTCCCCTTTAAGCTTGAACTCTTCACTTGAAATTCCTTGAACTCCAATGAGATCTCTCATCTCTTTGATTCTGATTCTTCGTAAGGCCTTTGTCAATATGTCTACCTTTTGTTCGCTTCCTGGAATATGCTCAACTTCTATTTGACCATTCTCAACACATTCTCTAATGAAATGGTATGTGGTGTGGATGTGCTTGCTTCGTCCATGGAATACAGGGTTCTTTGTAAGTGCGATTGCAGACTGATTATCAATCCGAATTAGAAATTTCTTACTTGATGAACCAGTAATATCGCCAAGTAAATCCTGAAGCCATATTTCTTGTCTTGCAGCTTCTATTCCTGCCATAAATTCTGCTTCACATGATGATAAAGCTACAGTTTCTTGTTTTTGCGAGCACCAAGAGATCGGACTTTCTCCAAGGTAGAAGATGTGACCAGTTGTGCTCTTTCCATCATCTGGATCCACATTGTGACTAATGTCACTATACCCCACAAGCCTTGGTATTCCTGAAATAGTTTTCTTAAATGCCAAGCCGTAACTGATAGTTCCTTGCAAGTATCTTAAGCAGTGCTTCATTGCGGATCCGTGAGACTCCTTGGGCCGTTGCATATATCTACTTAGAACACCAACGCAATAAGCAAGGTCAGGTGTGGTGTGAAGTAAATATCTCAAGCATTCGACATTCTTTCTGTAATTAGTGGCATCAATGTCTTTCTCTTCTTCTGATTTGGACAACTTAAGTCCAGGATCCATTGGTGTGTGCGCTAAGTTACAGTCTTTCATTCCAGCCTCCTCAAGAATTTTGAATGCATAACGTCTCTGGTTCAGCGTGATTCCATCTTTGTGTTGATACACCTCTATTCCAAGATAGTAGGTTAACTTGCCAAGGTCGCTCATCTCAAATTTGGATGCCATCTGATCCTTAAATTCATAGATATGCTTTGTATTTGTACCTGTTACAAATAAATCGTCTACATAGACCGCAACCATAAGAAGATCTGCATCGAAGTTTCTCTGATAAACTGATGGTTCCTTAGAGCACTTCTTGAACTGTAGTTCATTGAGAATTTGGTTCAGCTTATGGTTCCATGGTTTTGGTGCCTGTCTTAACCCATACAAAGCTTTGTTGAGTCTCTATACTTTGCCTTCACTCCCCTTTAATTCAAAACTTTCTGGCTGTGTAACATAGACTGTTTCTTTTAACTCTTCATGTTAAAATGCTGTTTTTACATCCAGATGATGTATTTCCCAACCATGTGACGCTGCGAGGTTAATAAGAAGCCTAATTGTTTTGATTCGCGTTACAGGTGCGAATACCTCATCGAAATCTATCCCATATCTCTGCACATATCCTTTAGCAACTAACCTAGCCTTGTATTTGTTGATGCTTCCATCTGAGTTTCTTTTGATCTTAAAAACCCATTTTAGGCCTATTGGTTTAGCTTCTTTAGGAAGTTCTGTGAGATCCCATGTATGATTTCTTGTAATCGATTGTATCTCATCCTCACATGCTTTTATCCACTCTTGTCTCTCCTTAGCTTCATTGTAACTTCTCGGTTCATCATTCAGACATAACAGCAGAAGTTCCCCTTCATCATCTCCGAGCATCACAAAGTCCTCAAGATGCTTGGGTAATGTTCTTGGTCGCTGTGATCTTCTTAGAACAGGTTGAATCACTTCAGTTTCTGTTCCCTGTTCGAGATTATCATCTTACACGAACTCATCATTGTTCTCGATGTGCTCGTCGAACTCATCCTGCTCTGTTTCAGACCTTGTTTTGTCGTGCTCTGTTTCGATAATTTCTTCTTCTTGTATACCGTGATTCCCATAACCTCCAAGACTGATTTTGAAACTTCTAGTGCTCTGTTCCAAGCTAGTCTGGCTACAAATCCATCCTTTCCCTTCGTCGAAGCAAACGTCTCGACTCACGACTATTTTCCTGACCTTTGGATCGAAAATTCGATATGCCTTTGATCCCGGTTCTGTTCCTAGGTGAACCAGCATTCTTGATCTGTCGTCTAACTTTCTCAGCTGCGACGATTCTAGTTTTGCATATCTGATGCAGCCAAAAACTCGAAGGTGACTGTTATTCGGTTTTCTTCCGTGGAAAACTTCGTATGGAGTTTTCTCTTTTAGTGCCCTTGTAGATATACGATTCAAGAGGTAAGTCGAATGTCTCACGGCTTCCCCCCATAAGTAATTTGGGACCAATCTATGCTTTAGGATGCTTCTTTTCATCTCCATTAGGGTTCTGTTACGTCTCTCAACAACTCTGTTTTGTTGAGGCGTATAAGGTGTTGTGGGATGTCGCTTTATACCCGAGTTGTCGCAAAAAGAGTTGAACTCTGTTGACAGAAACTCTCCTCCTCTATCAGTCCGGAATGTTTGTATTTTTGCGCCTGATTCTTGTTCCACTAAAGCTTTAAACCTTTTGAATTTTTCAAAGGCATAGCTTTTCTCCTTTAGTAGAATTGTCCACATGTATCTGGAGTGATCGTCGATGAGGACAAAAACGTACTTGTTTCCTGCTGCCGTTGATGGTGTTATAGGACCACACAAATCGCCGTGAATTAGCTCGAGTATTCTGGTTGCACGATACATAGTTGCTTGAGGGAACACATGTTTTGCTTGCTTTCCGAGCAGACATGAGCCACAGATGCTTTTCTCAATTGTTATTTTCGGAATCCCTGATACAAGATCCTTTTGTATGATGCTTTTGATTGTGTCGTAGTTCACATGTCCCAGCCTCTCATGCCATCTGTTTGAGTTGCTCGCTGTTGTTGAATGTAGACACATAGTATTTCTAATTCCCACAAACACTTTGTATAACCGATTTCTTGATCTTATTGCTTTTGCTAGTAACTTTCCATCCCGATCAAGCATTATTAAGTAGTCCCCTTTCATTGACACTTCGCATCCTGATTCCGTCGCTTGTCCAAGACTAATGATATTACTTCTCAAATCTGGAATGTAATATACATTGGTCATTGTTCTTGCCTCCCCATTTCTGTCGATGAACTCGATTGTCCATTTTCCTTTGATATCGATCCGTGAGTCATCTCCGAATCTCACCTTTCCGGTGACTGAATCATCAATTGTGGAGAAGTATCTTCTGTCTCCTGTCATATGATTACTGGCTCCATTGTCAAGGTACCAGATATTCTCTTCATCGGGTTCTACTTTGTAGTTGCTCGGCACGATCTTCCCTTAGTTTAAATACACTACTTCATGCATCATCAACTTATCTGCATCTTGTGTGTCGGTGTTGTCTTCTTCTTGTGTCTCGTGCAACTTAAGTAATCGATCAGGACAATTTGAAGCAAAGTGTCCTGTTTTGTCACACCTGTAACAAGTGATTTTGGACCAGTCTCTCGGTCCATTGGTCCTTCCTCGACCTCTTCCTCGACCGTAGAAGCGTCCTCCTCGGCCTCTGCTTCTACTTTCTTCATTGTAATCGCGTGAAGACTGAGCGTTTGTGTCTGCGTACATCAACTTGCTCTGATCTTCCTGCACATCTTCCTCCTCGTGAATGCGTTCTTCATATGCTTTCATACGACCAACGATGTCTTTGAAAGTTGTTGTGTTAAGATCTAACACTTGCTCAAGTGATGCCACCATATGTATGTATCGTTTGCGGGGAAGACTTTTAAGAAACTTCTTTACGAGTTTGGATTCTTCAATGGTGGTTCCTAGAGCGGCCGATTTAGATGAAATCTCTGATAACTTTCCGCTGAAGTCATCAATCGTCTCAGTGTCTTTCATCTTGAGCCAGTCGAAGTCCGCCATTAAAGTCTGCAACCTCGCTTCTTTAACTCGTTCTGCCCCTACGTATTTTGTTTTAATAGCTTCCCACACTTTCTTTGCAGTATCGAGTGCTCTAACTTGAAGTATTAGGGTTTCGGGTACTGATTGGAATATTAGTGCTGTGGCTACATCGTTCTTCTTGTTGTCGGTTGAATCGGTCTCTACCACGTCCCAGACCTTGTGTACTTTGAGCAGAATTTTCATCATGATGCCCCATACCGTATAGTTTGTAGCGGTTAGCATAAGACATTGAATTGCAGAGCTGCTCACCTCCTTTGGACGTGGATCAGAAGCCGCAGGAACTAGATCTCCCATGGTTTAATTTGTGATTGATCTTTTTGTAAGCTCTGATACCAATTATAGAACTCAAAGATTAAATACTCAAGATAAAATAATGACTCTCTTTATTGCTTAAGAAACTGACTCAAAACTTAAGCTCTCTAATCCTTAAACTCATAAGTTGTGCAACACTTTTGCATCTTCTTATATAGTGGATTATTCCTTTTCCTATTAGAACAACAACTTTCCTTTTCTTAGATAACTCCTAAGTATGTTTAGATAACTCCTAAACATATTCCTAATCCTAACAGGAAACATTCAAGCTTATTCTAGACCATTCTAGAATGTTAACTTCAAGCTTAAGTCAACAATAATTGCATTGATGCAGCCAAATGGATGCAGATTGTTAAAATACTTAAAACAAACCAGCCAAATATGCAAAATTTTTGTTATATATAGAACGATACCCAACCAAAATTTTTTTTTCTTTTAAAGGATTTTTCATTTATACTAAAAGCGGAATTACACCCATGCGACAAAAAAACTACAACCACGGAGGGACAAACAGCAACAAGCTGCAACAAAAATCCGCCACAAGCTTCAGACAAAAAAAGAAAAGTCAAGGGGGCTGGAAAACCGTAAACCAAAAAGTTAACAGAGAGACAACCGAGAGAAGGTTCCGTTATGCACGAGATAGTGGGTCAAGGTGACATCGGAGAATTAGTTGAATGTCAGAAACTAGAGCACTCTGAGGCCTCAAAGAATCAGAGTGAAGCCGTGAGTTACGCTCACAGCAAATGGCGTAAATCGAAGCTTGATACAGAAGCTTGATAATCAGGGAGATGTTAGGATCTCTAACCGGGTCTTTAATCCATCTTAATCCATCTTCAAAAGCGTTAGGAGGAGAGAGATGGGCTTTGTTCATAAAGAAGGACCAAATTTCCGAGCGATACAAATAGTCAAAAAACAAGTGTTGCCTTGATTCATCTGCGGAGCTGCATAAGAGACATGATGAAGGGACTGGGACACCCCAACTTTGTAAACGATCATGAGTATGTAACCGATTCCTAGCCACCAACCAAGTCATGAAAGCATATTTTGGAATCATACCTTTGAACCATATCGAAGTGGACCATGGAGCTGATACGTTACTTGGGAATATGGAAGCCCAAATATCCTTTGCAGAGAACTTGTTTGTGGTAGTATGATTTCCCACCTGCCACAAGTATAGATCATCCACTTCAGAGTGGAGAATAGGAGCCACCGGTGGAAGGCACTCCTTAAGGAGACTGATGATTGGGTTTCGGCTCCTAAATGCAGACACCCACCAGGAACAATTGCTAAGCGCATCTCTAACAGAGGCATCAATAGGGTGGCCTGACACTCTGGGGCCATTCTCCCCTGTCATGTCAATAATCAGACCAAGACCGTCCAGTTATTGTTCCAGAAGTTTGCAGTTACTACTGAACCAATCTCACACACGATGAAAGGCCTAGCCACCGAATGAATCTTGCAGAGCTTTTTACAAATCCAGCTTCCAGAGTTCCGAGGATCCAAATCCCAAAAATTAGCCTGTCCAATGATCAAAAAATTTATGAAAGTGTATATGAAAGGGGACACAACAGACTATTAGTCTTGAAGACTCTGAAAGAAAAGCTTGGTTACTCTCTACTCCTTTATCAAAATTGTTTCAATTTCTTTTATTTGCGTTAACGGTTGTATTGACAATAATTTTATATCATATACACTTTTTATAATATCAATATATTTGATTTCCCAAAAAAAAAAAATAGAACGATACCCTATGTATCAATATATACCTGAACTATCTCTTGATGGCTCTTCATAAGGAAAGCATTCTATTCGCCTAAACTCTTGACTCTCGACTTCATTTTCTACTTTTTCTCCTCCTTTTTGAGAACTGCATTGCTCTTTAACAACATATGGAGATATGGAGGCATTTGAGAGTCATTGTTTTTTTTTTTTTTGAACTAATTTTGAGAGTCATTGTTGACACTTAAGTCTCATGTATCCAAAGAATCCACCATTTATAGTGACCATGTAACTTCATCTCCTTTGCTTGGTTTCTGAAAGTTGGAAACATATATGAAAATTTTCAGAGATAGAAACGTTATACTATGCAAAGAATGCGATTATGATGGTCTGTTCACTCTGAATTTTTTTTTACTTGATGCGAAAGGAGTTGTCTTTTGTGTAAGCACGAGAGCCATTGTATTTTGTTTAAGAAAAGCCGAGGTTTTGTTCATATAGACTGTCAAAAGGGTAAATATGGGAGAAGATGACAATGAGATTTATATATCTTTTGAAGCTAAAACAACCGATACTAGATAGAGATGAGGGAAAAGTCACCACAAACCTTGAAAACATTTGGGCTTGTATAATTCTTCAAACCTTGACAATATTTGAGCTTGAATAAGAAGTCTTAAGAGATCGAAGGGGCCCGAAAGTGTTTAATTAAGGATAGAGAGTGTGAGTTTGGACTCCGGAAAACTGAGTATATATACAGAGGGCATAGTGGTGGTTGCGATTTGAAACGGCTAGAGCATTATGGCTTGAGATTGGAACTGAGAAGCTCGCTAGAGATTTAAGAGGGTTTAGATTTTTCATGATGAGTGTGAGACTCCGCTCCCTTCTTTATTTCCGGGAATCAGACGGACTGACTATCAAATTCATGAGACTTTGATTCCGCCTTTCATCGGATTGGCTATCAATAACTATGAACGTCCCAACTGCTCCTCCCAGTGAACCCAACACCCTTTCTCTAGGCCCGTGGATCCAATGTCCTCTCTCTAGGCCCGTTGGTCCAACGTCCTCTCTCTAGGTCCATTGGCCCACTACTGTCCAGCGGTCAGTGTGTTATTCCGGAAGGTTCGTAAGACTTGTCTACAGTTTCTGCAATCACCATGTGATTTTTTCCCTTGCTTTGTCCTTACTCACACGGTACCGCGTACCACTTCCCGATAGGTTATCCATCCTGAAATTGCTCCACCTTAAACACGCTTAACTCTGGAGTTCTCTCAAGACACTTGACCGGAAACGATAAGTGCACTTTGATGACATAGGTAGCCAAATTAATTCTTATAAACCTTTTCATATATACTAGAAATCGGATGTTACCATGAAGAGCTATTGATATTTTTGCTAGTTTGTAACAGCATATGATTTATCGATTGAACTTTATGCTTCATTTCTGGTTTAATTGGGCTGGTCCCAAAATTATTTTGGATCTTTATACAATGAGCTTATATCGTTTCATCTCTCTGCGGTGGTGTCAAATTAAAATAAAGCAGTGGTTGCAAAATTTCACACTATGAAATTTTTATATAGTTTTAGATTGAGAATTAATAATAATGGGCGAGGTTTATCTTGAGTACAATTGTGTATAGAAAACTATTGAAGAAATTAGATTTGTATTGATGAGATAATGAATACAAGTGAACCTCGAAGAGATTGATTACAACGAGAACTCAAGTAGCGTAGTGTCATTTACAGCTAGAAAATATCTGATTTTAGCTATGTCTTGAGCTCCTTTTTATAGCTCCATTGAGGTCTGAACAGCCTCCACGACTCCCATGCTATTCTTTGGCACTCCTCCTCCGTGATCTCTGTAACGATCCTGAATCATTGTAAGTAAACATAGGACCAAGCCAAAAGTTTGTTTTACTCGGCAACTGGTAGTTCGGAGCTTGCTGGATGCCAATGTTAAAGTATATTTTAGTTGATTGCACGGGTTGCTGCTGGGCTAAAACCTATATTTTGAGCAGTATATTGACTCGGCTCAACTCCGAATATATTAAATTATTTAAAAAATTAATTTATCTGCTTGGCTTAATAGGTTGGATTTAGTTGGATAAATCCAATTCTAACAATTGTTGTTGCTTGACGATATTTATTTTTTCGTGATGGACTTTGTTGGAAATGGATATTATTTTTGGTGATGTGGCGGATTGACATACTATGATTGGTGGATTTGCATATTATGATTAGTTGATTCTTTTTCCGTATTTTTTACCTATATGGATAGTGTTAAAGGCCTCCAAAGTTATATATATATATATATATATATATAAAAAAGTTATTTTTTTTCTCTTTTTTTTTGCTGCCACCTTTGTATCCACATGTCAAATTTTAGCTGGTTTTTTTGACAAAATTTTCAATTTTTTGTTTTCAATAATTGGTTTTGATTACGTTATTAAGATCATTAATAAATAAATTTCTTCATACACATAAAACAAAGAGCATAATAATAAATACAGATCAATTTTAACAAAAAATAAAATCATTGATATCTACCAATTTTAAAAAATTATTAAAATTAGTTTCCGTTGGTATATGTGATAAAGTATATAATATAAAATAAAGTTAATATATTTGTGATTCATTTTATATTGAATAATTAAAAAAATAAACATAAAAAAAGATATGAGTATATATAAAATCAAAATATCTATTTATAAAAAGAAAAATCAAGCTATACTTACATGCAACCATTCAAGACAAACACTTCATTAGAATCATAAAGACTGCATGACCAGCAAAGTACCAAGTTCGAGCGTTTTGATAATAATATGATGAATCCGTCTACTATTAATGTTCATTTACGAATTCTAGGAAACTTAACATTCACGCCAACCATCAAATCTATTGCTACGTTAATATAGTGTACAGTCGATTTTATATTGTTCAATGATTTCAGTACAAGCATGTTATGTTTAATGCCAAGGCAACCAATTTTATAGTTGCCAGGATTATCCAAGGAATTGCTTAGTTACCGGTAACTCTAGTGCAGTAGCAGCTAATTTAATGACCTATTAATTTAGTTTAGATTATTTTTTCTTTACAAATATTTTAGCTAAAAAATTGTATTCCTTAAAAAATCTATATATTATCTTTTGGTTTAAGGAAAACATGTATCATTTTTACACTTTAATCAGCATCTAATACTTACACACAAATAAAAAACGTATGATTTAATTTATTGAAGTTCGTTAATTCTAAATATATTTCAAATGAAGCGTATATAGTCTAGAGATAAGTAATTTAATACGAATAGGTCTAGTTTGCATCATATGTTCAAGATAAAGCTGAAGTTATATCCAAAAATGTAATTTAGTAACATATTATATATGGACTTCAACAAATAGGTCTTATATAAAACAAAATAAAAAGCAAAAATAATGCAACGAAAAATTAAAATGTTATGATCTTCCCTTTAAAAACCCCAACTAATTGCATAAAATTTTCAGCCAAAAGAAAAAAAGGATTAAAATGTGTATCATCCACTAAACAAACATAGACATGATCTTATACTTCAGAAATTAAATATAGAACAAAAAAACACTTATTTCTTAAGTTCATAAAGAGAATTCAATTAACTACCAGATTCAAAAACAAAAGTTAGAAACATATTATATATGGACTTCAACAAATAGTTCTTATATGAAACAAAGAAAAAACAAAAATTATATAACGAAAAAGTTAAAATGTTAAAATTTTTCCTTTAAAATCCCAACTAATCGCATAAAATTATCAGCCAAAAGAAAAAAGCATATTTCTTATGTGTATCATCCACTAAAAAAACATATACATGATCATATATTTCAGAAATTAGAAAGAAAAAAAATATCTTAAGCTCAGAGATAGAATTCAATTAACTACAAGACTAAAAGCAAATAACATTATATAATAAAAAAAGTTTAGAAATTGTTTACTACACATATTTCACACATACTCCAACTGATATAAATTAAATAATAAAAAATGCATCCATTAGAGACTCCTGATGTTTTCTACTAAGCAAATATCAAACCATTTACTAAGCAAACACAAAAAGTTAAATTTTAAGAAAAATCAGCAATTGCATAAATTGACAGCAAACAGAAAAAGGAGAAAAGTGTACATTTATTTGTATAATTTGTTTAAAAACTATTAAAAAAATCTATCACAAACAAAGACAAAATATTAAACTACGAAAAAACAATTTATTTTTCAAAAAAGGGAAAAAACAAGTTAACATGTCTTCGCGTCATTCTCTAGTCCGTTTTATATAAAGGAGATATGCCACAAAAACATAATTTAGATCATGTAAAGAAAAAATTTGAACATCAAAATAATTCATCTGAAATTGGAAAGGATCACATCATATTCAAAGCTTTCCACTTTTCATACCAGCTAAAATTTTGGGTAAGATATAGGATATTAGTTAAATTTTAATTGCTGGTAAATTGATATCTATTTTATATATAGTATATAATGTAAAGTAAAAACCAAAGAACTAACACTGATTGGAAATAAATTTATTTTTATTTTCATTTTATTAAATTATATTTTAAAGAAAATACAACAGTTTATCCATGAATACAGCCTCTATAATAATTACAATAACAT